GCGGGTGGTGGGGGGGCGGTCCCTGGGAGGCAGGAGATACCCGCTCCAGTCCCTTCGCAGAGGCGGGACTGGAACTGGGATCTCCCACCTCCTGGGCAGGCCAGGACCACAGGGGGCGAAAGAGAGATCAGAGTTTTATTAAAAAGCCGAGGAGGCAGCAAATAATTTTCCAAAACCCTTTGGGTCACCAGGAATAGGGGGAATAGAACTCACAGCTCTGGCATCCCAGGTGAACACCCAAACCACCACACCAGAGAGGGCTTCACAGACCAAGTCTCTGCTTGGGCCCAGTTGACAAATAAAGGAGTGCTTTTCAGTAGCCAAGAATAAGGAAGCAGGCTCACCCTTGGGGGACTTGAACCAGGGTCTTTCACAGCCCAGTCATGCGCTCTCGCTGCTATACTACCAAAGGCTTCTGGGGCTAAGCTTTTGCTTTGACCTAATCAATAGTTAACATGGAACCCCTCCAACAAGAAAGCCAGACAACCCTGTTCAAAGCCACTCCCTCTCAGTAGGTAGCTGGAGGACCCCCAACCACTGTATTTAATAGCCCAAGTGCCCCCCCTCCCACACACACACACTGTACTATAAGCAGCTTCTTTGCTCAATTAATATTTAATTCAAGAGGAAGAACTTCAGGAGTAAAGGAGAACACTAACCATGCACGTGGAAGACTTTACCATCAACAGGAGTAGCTTAATGCCTATGCTGCTTTGGCCCAATGGATAATTAATTAAGGCAGGACACCGTTGACAGGAAAGCCGGAGAGAGACCCACCTCAGAATGCCTCCAACGCCAGCACTTCAGTGGCTCCCTTGCAACACATTAGCCTGCCGCTTACATCTTGTCTCTGCTACCAACAGAAGGGGGCTTGGTCCAGATGCCCCTGGAGCTTAGGTGGCTGGTTCTCAATCAGGGCCATGTGAACCTACATTCTATGCTGGGCTTCCCAGGAGACTCACAAGTGAAAAACAGGCTCAGGTATCTCACTAGTGTGAGGACAAGAAGGTGCCAGGGCAGTGGGAGGCTGCTTAATCAGAGCAAACTGCAGAGAATGGGGCAGGCAAGCTCCAAGCCTGGTGCCTATGACTAATAACGAGATTCACCAATCCAGCCGGAGCAATGCTTGTGAGGGAGGGAAGGAAGGGTCATGGCTCCCCAAACACCATGAGGGGCAAGAGGTTCTTCTATGCTGCTCGGCTGTGCCAGGAAGAGGAGACACTGTGCAGCAACAGATAATGGGATGGGGTGGTGCTGCATCTTTCTCCCAGCTCCTATGCATCCTCTAGCTACACTGCTTGCTGCCCACCTGGTGAAGCGCAGGTGAACAGCTGCCCCCACTAATATGGGCTGGGGAGAACCCCCCTGGGTGAGGAGTGGCAGAGGGAGGAGGTGGGGCTGTGCCCCCTTTTCATCCCACCCACTATTTGTCAGCAACAAAACAGCTTCTACAATCCCTTGCTGGTCACTCAAAGCCAACATACAGTGCTCTTAAAGCAGCCCAATCTAATATGAGGAAGATGATTGACACTTTTGGTCTGCCTAGTCACCCCAAGGGATCAGACACATCAGCAGGTCAGTGAACATTTCGTATCTTACCCAAATACACGCTTGCAGCCCATGCATGTGAACTAAACAAATATTTATTTTAAAAAAAGAAAAGAAAGGAAAGAGTATTGGTGAAAAGATCATGATACATACAGCTAGGATCAAAGTCCTTAGGGCAGTTTAAACCATGGCATTCATTCTGGAAGAACTTCTTGCAATGCAGCAGCTCTGCTGTTATAGTCCAAGGAGGCGGTCAGTGTCCAATATCAGGGCAATCCAGACTGGAACTGCAGACCTCAGTCTCGTGACCCAACTTACATTCATCAGCAGAAAGTGATTCTCCATTAAACAGTTCATAGACATTTACCTACAAACCTGGAAGAGAAAGATAGACAATGGTGTGATTGCACCCACATTTCATCTAAATGTTAATATTCACTTTTGATCTCTGAATCACTAGAATATAACAACAGACAGGCACCGTTTGGTTACATGGCTAACCTCTCAGAGGTTTAAACAAACACAGACCTATGCAATCGCTGTCTCCTTCCAGCCCCCTCAGGATAATATTTGTATTTCCACTTCTAATCCATCCAACATCACTTTGTTGGCTTTTTATAAGCAAAGAACTGAGCTGCCATTTGTAGATTTTCCTAATATGTCCTTAAAATGTTGCATTCGGGTCATTTACACTGCTTGTTGCTTAATCCTATTCCAATCCACGTAGTGTATCATTTGATTGTAAAAATGAGAAAGCAAGCTCTTTTCCAGGACCAGTGTGCCGTAACGCTTCACTGCTTTTGTGTCTGACTTTGTAAGCAAGTCGTTTTTAAAGTGAGGTGAAACTTGGGATACACAAGCCAAATCAGACTCCTGAAAGGGGCGCCAAAGTCTGGAAAATTGGGTCCCTCTGTCCTAGAGTCCCAGCTATTATGCGGCTCTTCAGCATGGTCCTTACCCTTGAAGTAGCTGAATGGCCGGGAGTCCTTTCCTGATTCTGCTCCAGCCTCTCTGAGTGACTGTGGGCAAATGGTGGTTCACCTCTCTAGGCCCTGCTTCCTGCATTTTTAAACTGGAGATGATACCACTCATGCACTGGCACTGAGGAGAGGGAGCCTGGCCCCCCATATGCAGCCAGCTGTGACTCTCAGAAGCAAGGAGAGCAGGTTTCTTAGTTGACAGGGACACAGCATAGAACAGACTTTGTCAACACAGACAC